CTGTATTAATTATAAAATATTTTGAGCATAATAACGTAAAATATGATTTAAAACATCGCGACGAAATTTCATTCAAAGGTACGAAAACAGAATGAATAAATAAATACATTTGAAGAGCTCAGATTTTAATGTTCGCCCAAAAGAGTTCTTTTAAAATTTATGTAGTTTATCAACAGAGATTATCAATAGAGATGAACCAGGATTTTTAGGATACTAGATGAATATATATTTAGACTAACATGGGAATGTTTTATATCTTCGGTATACTTCAAAAGCGAAACATATTTCCGACAGACAGCCTCGCGCGCTGGAGATAATATTGTTTTATTCGGGACTGACGTCCCTTTTGGGCTTAAAAAAAGAGCGAATAATCCTCTGTCATCGTTGGGAAATATTTAAATCTCCTTGAAGAGTCAATTCTTCATTTGCAATTTTCTACCGTGCCATTTCTAACTTTTTGACAAGAACAATTTTCAATAAATTCTTCTTATTACGCGAAAATTATCAACTTAAAAATTTGCCCATTTATAACTTTCTGGGGAAGCATTCAGAAATTTGTTTAAAAATACCTAAAAAATTATTTTAAGCTTCAGGAAAAAATTGAGAAATATAGCTCCATAGAAAGCATTTAAATTCTTGAAAGGCAGTTATTTATTTCTCATAATCACTAAATTTCAATTTTAAGTATTTTGTTGCAGACAAATTTGATTCATTTTTAAAGAGACAAGATGCATTTTGCTGAGTTCTGTATTCGTTAACACGTCAGATTTGAAATTATTTGGTTAATTTAAAAAAAAAAAAAAACTTATTTCCCCCTTTTTTTTCTGAAGCTTAAAATAATTTTTGAGGTATTTTAAAACTGAATTCTGAAAAAAAATAATAAAGCTTTCTTTTGGTTATTTAGGTCTTTACTTTTGCTTTATTTCATAAGAAAACATTTTCCAACTCATAACGTTTTCAAAACATTTTATGTAGTTAGATCCATCGAACCTCTAAAGCTCCAGCATTCGAAAATTATACTAATAAATTCAAGTAATATTTCAACAGTTTTCCCCAAATCCTTTTTTTTTTTTTAACATACTAGTTTATGTTTCAGAACTATTAGTATTTTTTTTTATTGAAAATTTTATTAAAAAAATATTCGTTTTATTAGCTTCATAATACTCAATCTTGCCTTCAAAATTTTTTTTGATTTCCTATCTTTTGCTCCTTTTCTATAATATACTTTACATAATACACTAATACATCATAAATATATTTTATAAAAAATTACATAGTTTTGACAAGAAAATATATAAATACTTTTTTTTGATACTTTTACAATTTTCCGTATACCTTTCTTATTTTTATTTTATTTATTTTTTCAGTTTCAAAACTGATTTAATTTCATAGCGTTATTTTTGAAATAATTTTATTATTCATAAAAAATTAAATAAACTTTTACAAACTTTACATAATTTTCCGTATACCTTTCTTATTTTTATTTTATTTTTATTTATTTTTTCAGTTTCAAAACTGGTTTAATTTTATAGCGTTATTTTCGAAATAATTTTATTACTCATAAAAAATTAAATTTTTACAAACTTTATATAAGCTAGCTTTTGAAACATCATTAAAAAAAAGGTGGAAGAAACCCTGTGAAAGTTTCAAGAACTAAGAATTTTAAACTATTTTCAAGACTATTCCTGAAAAGTATTCAGCATATAGTAAACACTGTGTAGAAATTCGGTTTAGTGTACATATATATAAGGGGGCTGGGTTAACATTCTGGCCTTTTATTAAAAAATGTGTCAGCAGAGAGTTCATGAGACCTAAGCCACTTACTTATATTTATACCCTAAAACTGACATTTACACTGATACAAACTATACTATTAGATTGGCGTTAAAAAACACAGAGGTCTTAATGCATTAAACAAAAATCTATTTATCGTCTCCTCCACCTCCACCGAAAAAAAAGACAATAGAATTTAATATAATATAGCATAAAATTTTCGATTTAAAATAATTCAGTTTTTAACAGTGAAATTCAAGTAATATATTACGTGAAAAAAAGCAAGAAAAGAAAATCCTAGGTTTATTCAGTAGCTTCCTATCAAAATGTGCAAAGACAATGAATTTGCCAGAAACATCAAAATATGCAAAGACTATGAATTTTCCAAACAAAAACACAATACCTTATTCAACCCTCTGTGTTTACGGAATTCACTACGAAGGAAAATCCACCGACTAATTGACGAAAGGCCAAAATTTCACCTTAGTAAGATCGCGTTTGGTGCAACAGACTAACAATAATGGATTACATTCGTACTCGGAAACATTAAAAACAGCATCCCGAGTGGTAAAGTCGTTGAACGCTGGTAATTTCGACCTGCGCTCGATTTCAGGCGAACGGGCTGGCTTACATAGGCGATTTCGGAGTTTTTCTCATGTCTAACGTGTATACGAGCCATTTCTCCTTATAAAGTCCTCCAAGAGGGCATTCCTCTCCTTAGGCAGATAGCCATAGACTTTTAAAAGCAATGTTCTTTTAAATGCATCTGATTAAAATTGTGCATATACCATGTATTAAACCATATATTAAATTAATGTTTCTGATCATCAGATCATCAACTCTAAAATAAAACTGTAAGATTTTCAGTAGATTAAACACAAATTCCTTTTATGTTTGTTTCCTTCTGAATTGACTTATTCTATTTCCCGTCGATAGCTATATATCATAATAAAATAACACGCTCTAATTTTCAATACATTTATTTTCCATAGCGACTCTCTGGCGCTAGGTTTCACCTTACAGCGTAACATATGATCGCAATCTCGAATGTACGACAAAAAAATCAAGTTTCTCCCAGAATATATTTCAGCACCAATTCTGGTGGCGCATGCGCTATTAGCCCAGATTCCGCTCTGGCGCCAAGTATTTCTCAGCTAATACAAAACACTCCCGGCGTTGAAATTAACAATTTCAAAACTATTATTTCAATAAATGTAAATATAAAGGCACTACAATAAATTACTTCACAATAACAAATCACAATATTGAAAAATATACATTCAAATTATTACAACAGATTATAATATAAATAAACCATCATTCTACAGGAAGTATACATATATCTCGAACATTTCGTTTCAGCAAATGCTGATTAGGCAATCTTACAGTTACTACTCTTATTTTGTTATCCCTACCATGAAAAACCTCAGCTATTCTCCCCACTAACCATTTGGTTTGAAGGAAAATTTTCATCTTTATTAATACAAAGAGTTCCCAACTGAACGTCATCCTTTAAAAATTTCCACTTGTGAACGTTCTTGTAAATTATTAAGATAATCACGTTTCCATAATTTTCCAAATTTTTTGTGTGTGTACTTAGTGATTCTTTGCCATTTAGAAAGTCTGTTTTCATTTATGTTGGATAAATCTGGCTCAGCTAGAGTTCTGATAGGTCTACCAACCAGAAAGTGACCTGGGGTCAAAGTTTCAAAATTATTGTAATCAGCTGAAATTGGAGTAAGAGGTCTTAAGTTGAACACTCCTTCAATTTCAGTTAAAACAATTAAAAATTCTTCTAGTTAAACACTGATTACCAATAACTCTCTTCAAACGACTCTTAAATGATTTAACACCGGCCTTTCAAATTCCGCCGAAATTTGGCGACTTTGGAGGAATAAATTTCCACTCTATACCTTCAGTGGTATAAAAACTCGCTAAATTCTCATCTGGACACTCAACCAAGTTTTGCAATTTTTTGAATTCTACACTAGTACCAATAAAGGTTTTAGAATTATCACTCATTATTCCAGTACATTTTCCCCTTCTAGAGAAAAAAACGTTTTAACCTCGAAATAAAAGATTGGCTAGTTTGGTCTGTCACAAAGTCTAAGTGTATGGCTTTTGTACTCATACATACATATACTACGACATAAAATTTTGTTCAAAACTCCCTTACGTTGATTCTTAAACTTTATTTCAAATGGGCCGCAGGAATCAACACCAGTTATGTTTAAATGGGTATGATGGAGTGTGACACGCTCTTTGGGCAACTCGGCCATTATTTCTTGAACTGTGATGGGTTTGTTCTTGAAACATGTCACACATCTGTAGAAGATCTTTCTACAATTATTTCTACCATTGAGTGGCCAGAACCTTTGTCTTACCTGTTGTAACAGTGATTGTGATCCTAAATGAAAGTACTTCAAATGAAAATGCTCTAAAAATAATAGTAGTTAAACTATGTTTAGTAGGTAAAACTATAGGGTGTTTACTATTATTATTTAGGTCCGAATAGGACAATCGTCCGCCCACTCTAATTAGCCCCATGTTATCAAGAAACACATTCAGTGATGCTAATTTACTTTTGAGGTTTACACAATTACCTCTTTTTAATTGATTTATTTCGTCTCTAAACTCACTTTTTTGGGCCTCGAATAAAATATACACCTCAGCATCCTTTATCTCTTCTAAAATCAGTACTCCGTACCTCCTTACATGAGGGTTCTTAAGATTATGGATAAACCTGAAAATGAAACTTACAATACGAATAAGTTTAGTATAATTAGAAGACAAATTAAGAGTATCATTAAAGAGATTTGGTTCATTACGTGCAATTAAAACTAAGTTAGAATCGTTATGCAGTTCATTGTTCTTTTTAAGTTCATTTGGACACACTTCAACTACCTCAAATGATAAGTCCTGATGAGGAATCTCTGAGCATGTTAGAAAGTCACAGCATGACCACCATTTGGAACAGTTCACAAGAAAGTCAATCTGAACACTACGCGTCATAACATCTGCTGGGTTCTCTTTTGTTGAACAATAGAACCACTCTGTCGGCTGGGTTAACTTCCTATTCTCGTTACCTCTGTTGGCGATGAAAGATTTCCATTTGGTACTGGTACCTTTAATCCAGCATAGCACTATTTTGGCATCAATCCAATAAAATATTCTCGAGGATTTCTTTTGATCGAGCAATTTTTTCACTCCAGAACCTAAACACGCTGTTAGTAATGCACCAAGTAATTCAAGACGAGGTAACGTAACGTAATTTTTTTCACAGGTGCAACCACGACATTTTGATGCGAACGAAAACTCACAGAAATTTCTTCTTGCTTACGCAGTTTTACGTAGACAACAGTACCGTACGCCCTCTGACTGGCATCTGAAAAGCAATGGATCTCTATGGAATCGGCTTCGGGTTTCAAAATGAATCTTGGAACTGCAATTTTACTTAGATGATGACACTCACAGCACCACTTTGCCCACTCTTGACAGATATCTGTAGGTAGTTCATCATCCCATGTCAGTTTTCGAACCCAAAGTTCTTGTAGCAAGAATTTAAGTCTAACACTAAATGGAGTTATTAACCCAAAGGGATCAAAAATCTTCCCGGCAGTTTTCAAGATGAACCGTTTCGTATTACGCTTATTCTTAAGGAATTCCATCAAACTGTCTGTGTCTATACTCAGACTGTCTTCATTAGTATCCCAAGATATTCCCAAGATCTTAAGTGTCTCGTTTGAGTCATTGATTTTATGTGGGTGGATCTCGAACTCTTCCTTTTTCCATTTTCTCATCAGCTCAGGATCATTGGATACCCATTTACGCAAGTTCATATTTGCTGCACTCATAATTTGTTTAGCTTTACGCGATAAGCTTAGAGCCTCATCTATACTGTCCTGTCCAGTAATAAAATCATCAACATAAACACAAGAATTCAATATTTCAAATACATGTGGCTGCTCATCTCGATATTTTCTAATGTGTTCTTTAATTGTTGCAGCCAACAAAAACGGACTTGACTTAATCCCAAAATTTACGCGCTTGAATCTATATGTCGCTAGTTTTAGATCATTTAATTGTGTGTTTTCCACAAACAGGAATCGCACTGCGTCTTGATCCTTTTCTGCCAAAGCAATCTGCAAAAATGCTTTTTCTACATCCGCTGAAATTGCAACTTTATTTAATGGGAAATTAATTAGCAGATGGAACATATCAGGATTTAAATTTGTCCCTGTCCATAGGCAATCGTTCAGTGATAGCTGCCCGAACTCATGTGAGCTGCCATCAAACACTCTTCTAGTCTTTGTTGAAGCACTGGTTTCTCTAAATACCGGTTGGTGTGGTAGGTAAAATACTGGTTTACCGATAGGTACATTTCCATCTGACACTTTCTCAATAATACCTTGCTTGAGATAATCATCTAATATTTCCCTATATGTAGAAAACAGCGTTTTGTCATAATTCATTCACTTTGCAAGAGTTTTTAATCTATTTTCCGCTACTCGGTAATTATCAGCTAATTCACTCCAGTCCCTTTTCCAAGGTAAAGTAACCTCGTAGCGACCAGCTTTGAAACAAGCTGTCTTATTAAATATTTCCAATGCTTTGTCTTCCTCATGACAATAAGGATCATCTTTAATTCCTAATGATTCTACTAGTTCGAAAAACAATTTCAATTCACTCTCTGAATTATCATTTATTCACCCACAATACGATAAATTATTTCTCCGTGAATCATTTATATTTCCACTAACTATATATCCAAACACACTATTTTGTAATATCAAGCCTGAGATAGAAACATAGACCAGCTCGTAACATATAAAAAACTTCCGCGCCGAGCAACAGATTTACTTTCTCTGGTATATAAAATTCCGGATCCGCTAAATTCACCTTCTCAGGAAACACAAGGTTACTAACATCGATAAACTTTGCGGGAGTTAAACCTGCTATTTTTGGAATTACCAAAACCTCTAGTTTCCTTTTATACGTTTGTTCCTGATTACAGATAAGGGCAACTGTTTTTTCTTTTTATCGTAGTTGAAATACCTGATATACCACAAACCGAAATATTTGTCTTTACCCTTTTTAAATTAAGTATGTCCGCTAATTCAGTGGTACAAAAACAAGAAACACTTCCATTATCACATAACGCTTTCATCTTAATTAAAGTTCCATCATGAATACAAAGGCAGTAGATAAAATCACGTTTTTCCCACTATTAGTACCAGTAGCGGCTGTAAAGGTTTCATTTTGAGTTTTAGCTTGAAATGCAGGTGCATATACATTTAACGCATTGCTGTTTTGATCACCCAACTCCTGATCTGAAGTTCCTGATCTGAAGTATCTGCTCTTTCTACTGTGGTGCCAACGGAATTATTTTCGTTTTGATAACACAAGAGAAAGCTATGTTTTTCCTTACACTTCTTGCACAAGTAATTAGAACGGCAATTTCTCCCACTGTGCAAATTAAAGCAACAAAAACATAAATTCTGTTTTTTTCACAAATTCTACCCTTTCTTTTACACTTAATTTCTGAAATTTATGATGTATTTAATTATGGCAAAGCACACGAGGGCTATCTGCCTAAGTGGAGGGGTGCCTTCGTGGAGGACTTTCTAAGGGAAACACACTGGCTCCTGTTATACACGTTATACTTCATGGGGGATACACGTCACACATGGGGAAAACGCCCATGCAACCAGCCCGTTCACGGGATTCGAACCTCGGACCGAACTACCAGTGTTCAGCGACTTTACCGCTCGGCCGCTGGTGGGCCCCCTTCCGAAATTTAGGACAATTAAAAAGTTTGTGATTGCTCAAATTATATAACCTACACGAATTCTGCATATGTTTTTCATTTGCATTAGAAACGACAGACGTAACTCTATGTGTAGCTTTTTTTGTGTTAGTCACACTATTTGAAGCGTTGAGAGTTCTTGCATGATCTTTAAGAAATTCTATAAGATCTGTTAAATTAGGCAAATTCTCTTTCTCTCATTTTCTTTCCTACCATATTTTGGTGTTAGGATCTAATTTTTGCCCTAAAATGTATGCAAATACATTGAAAAAAAAAAAAAAACCGTTAACACACTGATTTAAAACTTCTAATGATCTCACGCATTCATTTGTTATGTCAATTAAGTTTAATATTGCTGACGCAGACTCATTTTGCATAGGATGCATATTCATAAATCGTCTCAGATGAGCATACACTTGTTTACGGTGATTAGAGAACCTTTCTTCTAGTAATGAAAAGGCTAATTTATAATTAGAGTCAACTATGGATATTGACTGCACAATACGATAAGCATCTCCTCTAAGCGCAGATTTTAAGTACTGTAATTTGACTGCATCTGTTAAATTAGGATTTGAATCAACACTGGCTAAAAAGATATTTTTAAATGAAAGCCACTCATGTAAGTTACCCGAAAACTTTGGCGAAGTAATTTTGGGTAATTTAACATTGTTCTCAGTATTCGTGCAAACCGAATGCTCCGATTTAATTTCTTTGGAAAGTTTGGCTAATTTACGCTTTAATTCGACTTCTACATCTAAGAGAATATCGTCAATCTCTTCTTTCTCTTTTACATAAACATCAATACTTTCTTCCGTACATAGCCCGAACAAAGAATCGAAATTAGAATTTATCTCTGTCTCAAACGCTTTAAAGTTATTCTTCAGTGCTTCCAAGTCACTTCCTTGGACATTTTCGTCCGCAACCTTTTGTTTTAACTTTGCTAACTGTGTTTTCAATGTACGTGTTTTCGCTAATATCTCCTTTAGTGACATTTTAATTAGCAAAAGTCAATAAACAAATAAAGAGCTTCAAAAAGGGGGAGGGTACTTACCCTTTTGTTTCTACTGAACTGGAAGTATCCTTTGTAATTCTTCGTTTCACAAAACCGAAAGTAAATTCACAGTCTCATAAACTTCATTAGCTTTTCCGGCTCTGAGCAGCCAAAAAACTTGAATTGACTTATTCTATTTCCCTTCGATAGCTATATATCATAATAAAATAACACCACACACATTACACAAAAATAACACGCTCTAATTTTAAATACATTTATTTTCCATAGCTACTCTCTGGGGCTAGGTTTCACCTTACAGCGTAACATATGAATTGCAACTTCGAATGTACCACAAAAAATCAAGTTTCTCCCAGAATATAGTTCAGCACCAATTCTGGTAGCGCATGCGCTATTAGCCCAGATTCCGCTCTGGCGCCAAGTATTTCTCAGCTACTACAAAACACTGTATTTGACATTAAATCTAATTTTCAAGAAAAATCATAATCCATATTATTAATGATATGTACATATATTCTATTCTCAAAATATTTTCCCTTTCTTTTTATCTTTACTTAAAATACATTTAACGTATGTCAAGTATAACTTGGAATAAAGAAAATGCATATTATTAATATTTTACATAACTGTATAATTTAAACAGTTTTAAAATTAGGCACAACTCACTCTCAGATCCTGATTCAACACATCATCTAATGCGGGTTTTGTACACTATGATACACGTACCACTAATGGTACATTACATTATTTTTGGTACATTATACAATTTTTGCACAAAAGATTTAAATTAATGTTCAAAATTAATGTAAAAGAACCTCTTTTGATACATATATTGGATATATGATATTAAATATATTTTTTATTCTTATTTATGTCGTGCACCATTTAAAAAGTTTCAGAACCGCTGATATTCATTCAAAAGAAGCTTCTCCAAGGACAAAAATTATTTTGCTTCTCCAAGGAAAAAAATTATTTTTAAAATTTTCCAAGGACAAAAATTATTCTGCACTTCTACGAGTTTCGTTGCCTTATCAGTGGTATTGGTACACCAACAGTATAGAAATATTATCGTAGTAAACCAAATTAAAATATATTTTCAACTGCAAAATAAATGCCAGGCTTATGATAAGGAAAGATAAAAGTTCTCCTACCTTCATTCATCTGCTATTTTTAAAATCTACTTTTATTTATTACTTTTTTTTAAATCTATTTACTTCAATCACTTCGACAGCTATTCGCATTATTTATTGCATTGTTTATGCTCGACTTTCGTCATTCAGTGAGCTGTGAATCTGACAAAAATTATTCGAATTATTTAGCTGAAATAAATATGCAAATATTCGTTTTATAAATCGATAATTATTATTCTATTAAAGTTCACTGTTGCAATCAATTTTTTATTCACAATAATAAAAAAAAAGGCTTCAACAATAGAATGCGTCGAGTTCCACAACAAAAATAAATCTGAACAAAGAATTAAAAAAAAATTTGAAAAGTTTCACATTTTAAATTAAGTCCAAATGTGTTTTTTTAGCATATTGCATGTTGCTTTTATTTATTAAATATCATGCTTTTCGCATTTAGACCATAAAACTCAGTTCAAGAGCAATATCGCAAAATAATTTTAAAATAAGCATGTCTTTAGCATTTCCGATACAAGTCTCGCGCGCTGGAGATAAAAATGTTTCTTCTGTACAACGTTGCATTGCTCGCTTTGAAATCCTTGAGTTTGTTAAACAAAAATTCGTTAAAGTTTTACAAAATATGAAATCGATAATAACATAAATTCCAAATTTCAAATTTGGACTTCCAGATGCCCATATTCGGGTGGAAACTTTCAACATTCAAAATTTGATGGCTCTAAATACCGCTGTTTTATCACAGTGAGAGAAACATACATGCATTTATGTAGATTGTTCATTATTTAATTTTAAATATAATCTAGGGCGATAATATTTGTTGCCAACAATTTGAAAAGTGAAAGAACGCTTATAGTGAATCAACGCAAAATGCCAAAACGTAATTAATAGTCCTTCTGGGCAAATACCCCTTTGGACTAAAAACTTCAATAAATTTTTAAAATGCTTAGGAAAGTGAATAAGATGAATGGCGAAGTAAATAAATAATGACACCGTTCACTCAAAACTAGTCTACTAACGATTTGCATTTGAAAAGAAAAAGCCTTTACATATCATCTATCTACATGCTGATTTTATTCTGATTAAAGGAACGTTTTTTATGCATTTCTTTTTCAAAGAAACGATTATTGAGATTTACAATACTAAATCCCAGACTGCTGATAATAAAGAAATCCAAAGTGGAAATTGTGAAATATTTACTACCAAATTCTGGGATTCCCGAATTTTGTAGAATAGACATTGAATTTTGTAGAATAGACCTTAAATAATAAAAGTAAAGTCGACTATGGTGCAAGAATAGTCAAAATAGACAAAGATGCAAGAATGATCAGTTTTACAAGTACAGATCGTTGCACATAATTATGAAGAATTCAATCAAAATCAATTTATTCTAAAATTTGCTATTTGCGCTCACTAGGATAACAAATACTTTGAGTGGAACTGATTTAAACTTTTTTTTCCTCTTCTGAAAATGCATTATACATCATTAGTTATTTTAAATAAAATATTTTGGGA